CGAATTTTTTTTCCAGATCATGACAAGGAGCACAAGGCGGGAGTGACCGGTCGGCATGGGATGCTCACTCTATCATAGCACCTGATCCGACTTTGATGCTTTTGGAGGACCGTGTTCATTGTGCTTCCGATTTGTATTTTTTAAACGGATGTGGAGCTTGAATACCGTTCGTTATCTCAATACTTCAGCTTATATACACTGAGCAGATAACCAGTTATTCTATAAAACAAACCATACCTTTAACAGAGTTAAAGAAAGTTAGGTTTCTATCAGAAATATTTTTGACAATTCTATGCGTTCCACTTCCAGATATTCTATGAAAAATTGTAAAACCTGTGATATTTTTGATAAATAGTATTTTGTTTAAAAGCAACCTAACAAAAAAAGGTTTTTACACTAAAACTGGTGAAAATCTTACTTGTAAAACTTTGAACATTGTCTATGGAATTGAATGTTCTCTGTGCGGACTGATTTATATAAGGAAACAAAACGTTTACTCAATAAGAGAATGTCATGGTAAAGGTTTGAAATAAATTATGGAAGCCATCAACAAATATATAGACATTTCAGTTAGCCTGACCACTATTCTTTCAATAAGGGCAAGCATTTCGGAAAAATATATATCATCCAACTAATAGTCCTACGATGAGTACCCAATTCCACTGACAACGATAAGAATATTTGATCAAGAAAGTATGCACTTCTGTATAGTTGCAATGACCACATAAATAATGTAGGGAATCTCTCAACCCCACAGTGCGCGAATGTGAATGTGATGGGACTTTATAACAATACACCAAGACGTAGAGGTAGTCATGGACATCGATCATATCACATCCAAATATACATGATGTCTCTTTTGATTCACTTTTTTTTTCTAACGTTAATTAACAATTAGACATTTATCTCATTCGCAACAATTCTTTTCGGTTCTCTTGAAATATTTAGATTGACTATTTGCCAAAGCTAATGCAAGTCCATACTTAGATACTTTAACTGCAGAATATAAACTACTCTTTGTGATTATGGGTGTTGCCCAGCATATGCTTTTTAAGCTACCAAGTGTGTGATAATTCTGAAGATAATTCTGACTCAATCCGTCGATTCCTCAAACTAGATTTTCCAGTTAAGTAATAGAAGCTGTGAAAATTAGCAACATTCTTAATCAAAAACATGTCCAGTCTTGCATTCCACCATATTTCATGTCGAGCTCTACACCCTTCATTTCCTACTGATATTCCCAAACTTCTGCTTCCAAACTTTGCAGATATAGACAAACCTTACAGTGCCTCGATTTTGAATATCTAAAAAGAAAAACGCCTCTTAAGTGTTCCTGCTTTACTTCTTTCAATTACAGTCCAGCTGGACACGCCATTTCTGGTGATCTCTATATAGTTGAAAATGAAGACCTAAAAGCAATCAACTTAAAAGGTCCTAACTAAATGGAGTCCCGGTGTTTTAAATGGCGAGAAAACTTCAAATCTATTATGAATTCCTTCGAAGATAATGCCAGACGTTGGGCTAAATCTAAAGAGGAAGATCTGAACACTCTGTCAGAATAGATTAAGTGTTTAAGAAATGTATTAAAGAAATTTAAAAGTCAATATGCTGACCATCTATCCTTCCATTTTCACTAAATTGAAGGTGGTAAAGAATTAAAAGAAAAGACTACATGAACAACATGTTATGGTTCCAGCAGAAAAGGCTTGTATCAACATCGTCTTTGTTTGTACAGATCATTATTAGAACTGTATTTAAGAAGAAACTGGGTTAAATTCTACGTGTGGAAGTTCAACTTATACTCACAGTTCACTTTCTAAAGATGAAGTTCTTCAAAATTAAAATTTCCGGTGTTTAATACTTTAAACATTCAAGTTAACCAAGGTGAGTTCAATCTGCCTTACCAATACTGGGTTCCTAAACCTCATAAAAATCTTTAGAAAGATACATTGGTAGGTCAGCAAATGCTCTACCAAGCCCCTATCTTTACTCCTTTCAAAAATATTGACTGGTATAAAGGAGATTTTTTTTTTTGATAATATAGACGCTGCTTTTTCAATAAAAATTGAAGTCAAAATAAATTTTCGTGATTGTTGATAGATCATCTACAAATATATTTTGTAAAAAAAAAAAAAAAAAAAAAAAAAAAAAGCATTCTAATTCTTCACACAAGAACTCTAAAGTTGTTTTATGTTGTCTTCGGAGACCAGGTCTTCCAACAGACTGTTAATATGAAAAGGAGAAAAAGACTTGTTGTTGCCTTCAACTCGATATTTAGATATATCTTCGATGTATTATATATCAATGTTAGTTACTTATATTCATATGTCGACAAGATATATCCAAGTGAACTTGAAATAAAAGGCACATCAGAGTCTGCCATACCTGTTTCATATTTGGATGTTTTACTGACAATTGATAATAATGGCAAACTAACAACTAAATTGTATTACAAACGAGATGACTTCAGGATCGCCATTGTCAACTTTCTCATTTCTGTTGTAATATCCCACTATCACCTGCATATGGTGTTTACATCTCCAAACTAATTCGATACTTATTAGCATGCTCCGATTACGATCAATTTTTAAACCAAGACAGGTTAATGACAGATAAGGTGATGTAACAGGGATTTCAACAACTTCGTTTAAAGCTCAGAATTTATAAATTCTATGAAAGTATGTTATCTGACGTGTTTAATACCAAATGTAGGTCTTTGCTTTCATTACTGAATTTGATTAAGGAATGTTCCTCTTCTTTATCCATATATTGGGCTCACGGCGGGTTTGACCGGTCCACAGGGGATGCTTACTCCTGGGCACCTGATCCCACCTCCGGAATTTCAAGGTGTCCGTGTTTTATACCCTGCTCACATATTTGTATTGTTTGTAGATTTTTAAGATATCGATCACAGTTCGTTATCTTCACTTTGTCATCAAATATAATTGTTTTAATAAAAATTATAAAATATACATTAATGAATTAAAGCGGTTCCCTTTTTTGTTTTGTAAAGAATGTAATTTCTTCAAATATTTCAAAGTGTCTCTTCTCTTTAAGGAATTGCTTTACATATGCTAAACATCTTTTATAAAAGCAGTACATACTTTACATCTTTGGATCCTTCATCTTTTGTCATGTTCATGTTTCTCTCAAATTTCACACCACTGCAAAAAATTTAGGGGGGAAAACCCATCAAACTACAAAATATTACTCTCTTAATGATACTACCATACAGGTATCATAATCAAATCTGAAAATGTATGTCGTCAGTAATCTTTTTTTTTTTAATCTGTTCCTTGTCTTATGTTACTCTTATGAGTCTTTATCAACAAAGTGGATATACCTTATAAAAATGATTATTGTAATTTGTTCAATACAAATAATAATACATTTGTCGAGTTCAAGGCATTTGCTTCTGTAACTGTTACTAGATATGGAAGATATTTTTTAATTTCAATGTTTGATTTCGTTGATTATCTCAGAAGTAATGCGTCAATTTCTTCTAAAAATTTGAAAAAGAAAATTCGATAGTATAATACCATGTTTAGGAAGCAGAGGCCAGATAAAAAGATTACACATCATTTAAAAGACACACTAAAGTGTATGAAGAGGTCTCATACAAATCTGAGAAAAACAGAGGAAGAATTGTTATCAATCGTACGTCTCTTAAGGTTAAAAATGAAGTATATATAATGAAGAAATATATCCTTTCTTTAAAAAGAAAAAAAAAGAAAGAAAAAGAATTAAAACAAAACAATACCAATAAATAAATAAATGAATAAAAATAAATAAATAAATAATAGAAATCAATGACAAAATGCAAAATATGAAAGTAATTTACAAAATTTAAAAGTTATTAAATCTATAAAAAAAAAAAAAAAAAAAAAAAAAAAAAAAAAAAGAACATGAAAAATGTATGGGCATATACTGATAAATGAAATACACTGTAAATCTTAATTGGATAAATGCCTATTAGTGGATGCCTAAAAACTGTCTTTTTATCAACCGAAGTTTTAAAATTTTTAAAGGTAAAATTGTCCTTCATATTTGGAAACGTCCGCTTTTATCTTTCGGCCAATAAAATTTATGACAGTACCTTTTGTCCTCGTTATAACATTTTAATGTAACTTACAGATCGGGGACGGAGAATGCAGACTTCGCTAGCTACATTTTCTTCAAATGTTCTTATCCCCGCTTTGTTCGTCCGTATAGTCCCAAATATTCAGAAACATTAGACTATATTTATTAGGGAAATTAGAATTCCGTTATATTACAACTGTAATACTGGTGGTTTATATTACAACTGTAATACTGGTGGTTTTGTCTCTTTTATCTCATTTTCATTTTTAATTTATTTTAAGTTTTAAATTTTTCCAGGGCAAAATTAATGCAGATAATTTATTCAAAAAGTCGGCTTAAAACACACACAGCGGAAAAAGGCTTTACGAGCACATGACCTGCTACAATCCTAAAAAAAAATTACTTTTTCCATATCACTAAAAATTAATATTTTTTATAAATACATAACTTAAGATTAATTCTTCATCGTTTTAAGGAAGCATTAATGATACATTTGTAGAAAAGTCAAATTAAATTTATTTACATTTGATCAAGAAGAATGAATCAAACTCTTTTGAAAAAAAAGAATGTATTAAGCTCTTTTGAGCATTTATACAGTATATATACAGTATACCATATTGTATTCAGAATATATATATATATATATATATATATATATATATATATATATATATATATATATATATATATATATATATATATATATATATATATATATATATATATAAATAGTCTGTGTAAGGGGTGAAGGTGTATGGCTTATTTTCAAATACTGACAAAACCTATAAGAGAGTATTGTATAAATGACTATTTCTATGCTTTACTTGTTTTCATACTCTACACCTAAAATTTAAACATAAAAAGAAAAACAGTGTATATACACTTTTCAAAAACACATATATATTGAGGTCCATATTTACCATTTTGGATCCTGGATGTAACACTTTCTTTCTGGATCAATGTCAAAGCATGACTTATCTAAAATATATTTAAGTATTGATTGGAAGAAATAATACAAATAATAGAATTTAATTCACAAAAATTAAATAACAGGATTCTTTCAAACTTTGATCCCCAATTCCCTTTCTTGGATTTTTTTTTAACCTGCACACTGCACACTACATTAATTATCTTGATTATTTTCAATTACACAAAGAAATTATCCAAATGGTAAACTGTCTTACACTTATATAACTTGTTAGAATAAAATTCTTGTTCTGGACAACCAGAGAGAAAAAAGGTGCAGTTCCTGGAATTTGGAGTTTTATTATTTGCATACATGTATGTATACACAGCACAGCTTCCTAAAACATTTAAAATAGTACACGTATAAGAAAATTTGTATGAAATGTAAAGCTTTTCTTTAGAAGAGTCAAAAATATTTTACGTTTGCCTTTAATTTTATAATTGCCAACTATTTTCTTATGCAATATAAACGTATTACGATCACTGAAATTCTATTATTCTGAACATGAGATCAGTGATAACATTGATGACAAAAAACTATATTCATTCATTTCTTGACATTTTTCTCCGTCCAAAAAATATAATTGATTGTTTAATAACAGTACCGTTCTTTATAAGTGTAAAGTCTGAACAAAACTGAACAGACTCATTCAGGTAACTACTTGGCATGCAGTGGTATATATTTTTAAGGTCAATACTTCTTGTTGCATTTAACATACCACTGCAATTGAGTGCTACAGAAGCTCTCATCCAGTCTGATAAATTGTTTGGTATAGGGCATGAAGACACACGTTCAACCCAAGGAGGTAAAGCAGCGGTTACATCCTCCTGCTAAATGAATGCATTTGTATGTTTATTTTTTGGAATTACATGCATGTAATAACATTTTTTTTTGTTTCAAAAACGTTTATACTGCGTGTCTTGCAATTAGGAAATAACCTTTGAAAAAGAAAAGTTAAATATATCATTTCATTGTTATTGCAAAATTGCGTCTTGAAGTTTAATAAGTCAAACCTTTTCTTGCTATTCTGAAAATGCAAAACAGGAAGGGAGAAAATGTAGATAATGTAGAATTGCACAATAATAAAAACAAATAAAAAGGCATATGGGTCTAAATGCATAATTATCTGAGCTTTATTTAACTTCCAAACGAAATAATATATCTAAAAAAAACGGTTATCATTTTGAGTGGCTCTTAACTTAAACTAAAAATTAAATCTGAAGTACATTGAAATTCCCTCAATAATCTTCCTCCGCGCCTATATAGCCCATCCCTAACTTTATAGGCTATAAAAAAAAACACACAGAAAACAGGTATCCCGAATATATATGCTTGCAAATTACATAAAATGCGTAATTTTACAGCAGCATCGAACCTTTCTTTTCTTAAAGATCATAATCAATCGTAGAAACTGTGTAGAAACTTCTCTGAACTACCTAAATATGACGTCTTAATGGCATATGACGTCAAGTCACTGCAAATATGAGCAGACATGACGGGGAAAATGTCATAACTTTAACATTCCTTTCACATCACATGTAGAATTTTAACGTTGATGTTTAAATCATGTGTCTGGATTGTTGTTTTAAGGCTGTTGTGATGATGAATATTTGCAATATTATATCGTTATTCCTTTTGCTTGTGTAACATGTATGTATTCAAACAATTACAAAAAAGAATGTGAAATACTCCCCCTACGTCCGTAAACAGAGTTAAAATTTATAAAAAAAAAAAATTAATCTTATATTTAAGAAATGAATTTCATTTTTGAAGATTCATGAGGACATGAACTACGACGCTTCACGCCGGCATATTTCATGAAGCGCGTTAGCGCTTCATGATAAATATGCCGGCGTGAAGCGTTGTAGTTCATGTACCTCATGAATTTTCAAAAATGAAATTCATTTCTTATATTTACATTATTGTTTTGATGAGTTTCCACAAGTTACGCCATTCAACTGTCATTTTTGAAGCAAAACCGTTTGCACTATAGTTTTGACGTCAAGTACGGTATTATGACGTAACAATAGAGATATTCATGCTCATCTCATGGTAGTTCATGAGAAAATGAACAATCTTTTAATTTGCAAAGAATCTTAAGGAAAAATACTTGGAAATGTAAATATATATATATATATATATATATATATATATATATATATATATATATATATATATATATATATATATATATATATATATATATATATATATATATATATATATATATATATGAGACTGGCAAAAATGAATAATAAGGATTAATTGGAGATATTCTGTGTGAATCTACTAGAGAAAAATGTCCTCTAACTGAATTTTGCTGGGGAATTGTATGTAATTCATCCCATTCTGTATAAATTGAGATGAAGACGGGGAAATGACCCCTTGAATGTGGATAAGTTGAATTTCTCGTGAAATATTTTTTTAAAATAAAATTCAGACTTGCCCCCAGCACTTTATATATACCCAAGAATATGTTTAATTGATTCATGTAACAATCCGTTCACAATAATTTTGTTTTTCACATTTACCGATGCGATTTTTTTTTTGTTCAACATTTAAGAAAATTTAAAAGTGTCTGTCAGGTGATCAACACAGCCATGTGACATCATAAAAATGCTTTTTTTTTTTATTATACCGTATTCAACTCTCTTTACAAATTAACTTTGTACAGACCCTAAAACGTGCTACTACACCTCAGAAACGAACCGTTACGTTCCGTGCAAGAAGCGTACCGTACCGTGAAAGAAGCGTACCGTACCGTACACAAAACGAACCGTACCGTGCAAGAAGCGTACCGTACCGTGCACAAAGCGAACCGTACCGTACACAAAACGAACCGTTTCGTGCAAGAAGCGTACCGTACCGTGCACAAAGCGAACCACACCGTTCATGAATAATTTTTGAAATAATTATGCAAGCCACGCCCCGATCTTGCGATGACCAATTACAGTAAGTAATTTTTTTTTATTTCTTTCGACGCAGCGCCCGTTAAAGAAGTATGGAAAATAACCCTAGAGATTCAAAATATCATTATTGAGTACCATGCATCTGGACTTACATTTGTTTATATAAGGAAACTACTTAAAACTATGGTAACGACTTCAAAACAACTCGACAGAGTGTGAGGCGATTCCTTATTCACTATGCATGATCGGGTTGTGCTTGACTAACTGTTTTTTTTTATATTAAATGCAGCATCGTAATATTTTCTTGTACAATTTATAAGAAATAAAAATGAATTAAATACTTTATCGTTTATTTCTATAGTTTTTATCTACCCTATTCTTGTCTCTATGAACGTTCTCGGAAACTAAGACACATTGAAAAATGTAGTAGGATTCTGTGCTATTTTCCGAAATCATTTTTTATTCATGTAAGTAATAGTTTTAGGGAGAAATGATTACAGATTTAGCATAATAATAATAATAATAATAATAATAATAATAATAATAATAATAATAAACTACGAACTAAATTGTCAATTTGAAACCGGACATGTTAAAATGTAAACGCCTCTCAATCACTAGAAAAAAATAAATAAATAAAAGCGATGTATATATAAATAACATATGTTGGTTTACACTTTTCTGACCAACCCAAGATGTTATCGCCAATATAACATACTGTCAAAAAGTTTGATCGCCACATTTTCGCATAGAATTTTCAATTTAATACACGTACACAAAAAAAAAAACAAAACAAAACAACAAAAACAAAACAAAACAAAACAAAAACAAAAAAAACAAAAAAAAAAAAAATGTCAGAATTAATTTTTATTTAAAGCATTTTTCCATTTCATTTGCTTTATTCACTGAAACCTGCAGGTAAAATATGTTACCTGGAATTTACACATAGATCCCAGTTTAATCCTTTTTTTTTTTAAAATGCGTAGTCCGTGCATGCGTATTCATCAAAGTTTGTTTTTTTTCTTTTTTAAGAAACACGTACTGTACATTTCTTGCCATGGTCTGGATATCTAGACTGACGTCTTTCTATGCTTTCGTTATTTACTCTAAAACATTTGAAAATTTCGATCAAGTATTGTCATCACACGTGCACAGGTAAAAACTTTAGCTGTGTATATTGAACCGTATCTAATCCCGTTAGTCCAGATATGCCTACATTCACAGGTACGTGTATCAACAGTTTGCTGTCTTAAACAGTAAGTCTACAACAATGACACAGTTTTATTCAGCATATAAGTAGAATTTCATGTGCAGTCAGTTTTTTCTTCTAGATCTTCAATAAAGAAAGTTTGAGTTTGACAAGGAAACGGGGGGGGGGGGGGGGTAGCACCCGGCATGGGCAAATTATTCATTTTCGAAGTTTTTGAGAACATGCATGGCTGCATTTTATTTATTTTCTAGGTAATTGAAAACGGACTATTTATTTGTAACAATTTGACAAATTATTTATTTCGGAAATCTTTCTTTGCAGTCAATATATGTTATAAACATTTATACATTGTAGATGGGATTGAAGCTGTCTTAACCGTTTTCCTGATTGTAACTTCTCTTTAAAAAGCGTTTTTACACATTGATGGAAAATTTATGTTTAAAGTAAAACAACTACGCGCACAAAAATTAAGTAATATTTTGCACTAATTGTGTGCACTTCTACCGATTACTTTTCAATGTATTTTTCCTAGTGAGCAAATAAATATGAAAATAATAACTTATTTTTTTAATTGTTTGTTTGATCATTCGGTCAAGAGATAAAATGTTTTTTTGTTTGTTTGTTTGTTTGTTGTTGTTTTTTTTAAATGAAGCAACAGAGACAAGAACGTAAAAAGAATGGTAGACGAAATGAAAGCATGAGGGATTTATAAAATCAAACTCATTTGTTTAAAAGTGTGATAAGCGAATATTTAAAATAATAATTGTATTCAATTAGGAAAATTAAAAGGAAAATAAATATATGTATGCTTATTCTTAAAAAAAAAATACAGAAAGGCCTTAATGGCGACGCAACCAAAATATTTTTTTTTCATCCTTGTAATGCAGTGTTTGTTGATATGTTCGATTTATTTCCAAGTTATTGAACCATAAGGCAATGGTGTACGAAATAAGATGATAAATACACAACTAAAATTATTTTATTCTAAAAATTGAAAGTAGTTCATACAGAAAGTAAAATAAAAAAAAAGATACAGTTAATAAGACGACTAGTTACATGTAATAACGAAAATACAGCTGTAAAAAGGAAATATTTATAACAGCTTTAACTTAAAAACAACTTATTAAAAATGCTTGCGATACCCTCCTTCCATTTATATAAAATAAAGAGATTATAATAAAGAAATAAACGACTTCATGAAGTAGCTAATCATAAACTAAAGCGTACAGGCTCCGCCCACTTAATTTACATACCGTTCACCAAAGCGCACCGTTCACAAAACGAACCGTTCCGTGCAAGAAGCGTACCGTACCGTACGCACAACGAACCGTACCGTCGAGAAGCGTACCGTACCGTGCACACGAAGCGTACCGTACCGTGCACAAAGCGTACCGTTCCGTGCAAGAAGCGTACCGTACCGTACACAAAACGAAACGAATCAAACCGTGCAACTGGTGTAGTAGCACGTTTTAGGGTCTGTATGTATACATAGATTACAAATTGAAATCAAAACATAGCTAAAATAAAATAGTATCATATGCATATTAAGCCTTTCGACAGCCTTAACATAACTGCGTAGAAAGAAATTTAAGGGACTCCATTTGATCCGTAGTTAGTAAGTATGATTGCATTTGAACAAAATTAGTAAATAAAGAAAAAAAATATATTCCTTTAATCATACCATGATACATAAGAAAATTCACTATG